CAGCGTCAAGGTGTGCTTGTCCACCGAGGCCCTTCAGTACGATGCATGCGGCGCTTCGAGGGCCTGCTCAGGCTGCGCGCTGTCGGCGGTGCCGAACGGGTCAAACTCACGCTTGGGCGAACGCGCGTCTTGAGGACCATCGATATAAGCGCAGCCAGTGCGAGGCGGGGGCTGGGCGCAGGCCGGCCCCTGGAGCCAACGCGGACACGGAGGGGAGGCATGCACAGGAAGAGGGAGGGGACGACCTCGGGTGAGAACTGGGCGCAGTGCAGGGGGAGGACGCTCACGACTCGAGACTCAAGACGTGGCGAGGCCCGCAGGCGGGGGCCGCGTCCTGAAAGAGAGCGCGACGACGAGGACCCGACACGACAGCGACGGCGACGGCGGACGACGCAAGACACCAGCGGCGGCACCAGTGGCCGCGGCACCCAAAGGGAGGATGCGGGGAGGACGGAGGCAGAGCAGGAGGCAGATTCGCCGGCCCCCTTGTGGAGGCCACCGGGCTGCGGGGTTGGCCCCTCCCATCTGTGGTAGCCTACCTCTCTCTCTCTCTCTCTCTCTCTCTTTTTTCCATATACATATATATATATATATATATGTATATCTTTGGTTTCTCTTTCCTGAGACCAGGAAGGGGAAGGCAGAAGCAGGAGCAACAGCAGGGGGGGAAGAAGAAAAGAACGACGAGAGACTCGGGAGACACGAAGCAAAAAAGAAAGGACGAGCGCACGTCGAGAAGTCTGACGACGACGAGCGCCATGCCCGCTGCCGCCAACGTAGCGCCACGCCCGCCCCAGATCCACCCCACCTAGCCACCGAGTTCAACCAGGAGCTCGCTCTCGAGGGAAAGCAGGGATGAGGAGGATGAGGAGGAGAATGCCACCAGCCCTCTGCGTGGACGCGGGCAAACATGTCTTCTCGTCTCCCTTTCAAAGCCCCTTCTCCCCCCTTTTCGGAGATGGGGTTTATGCCACCCCCCCATCCCCCATCGCGTGGGTTTGGACGGGCCCTGCTGCTGAGCCGTCTGAGCGAGACGAGCTCCGAGGCCGTGCCGCCGAGAGGCGTGCGCGGCTTCCCGGACGTCAGGACGGACCCTTCACTTTTAAGTCTGCTTTGGCCAGCTCTGACGGTAGAGTTGCCTTCGTACAAGGAAACGAAGCTGCTACGCCCCGCCTGAGAAGAATGCGAGGCATCTTCTCGGAGTCAGAGGGGATGTCGGCCCAGGAGCCGATACGACTGGCGAGTGGCAAGGCTGCGAAGTGGTCCTTGCTGCATACGTGTGTGTGTGTGGGAATGTGTGCAACCACAGGCATGTGTTACTGCCATCTTGACATGTATCTCAAAGACAACACAGATGAACGTCGAGAGCGAGAAACCTGGACAATGCTGACCCAATAATGTGCTGTGGAAACTAGAATCGGTGCGAGTGGTTTGGAGTGGACGCGCGTGACACTTTGAGCCCAAAGGGCCACAGAACTTCAGGGGCAGAGTGGTGGAATGTCTAACTTCCTTACCCTGCAGCCCAGCAAAGCAATGATAGCCCGTCCTGTCAGCAATCAGAACTTGAGCAGGACAAATTCGCAAGAACAGCTCCCAACCCGACGCTCTCGCACAGGAACTCGCCGCACTGAAGTATAGTAGCGGATCGGGGCGACACTGTGCTGGACTGTATGCAGGCCTACGCGTGTTGCCAGCAATCCAAGGCAAGGACTTCTGCCCCTGTGTTCGGCTGACCTTGGCAGCGTCGCTCTGAAAATGCCCGCGCCGACACCATCATGGCGCCGGTACAATTACATCGCAAGCGTGGTTGCCCCGATCTGTAAGAACGCGCTTTTTAACGATTCGCCATTCCGGCCGTTATCGGGGATGGACAGAGCCCCCTTTAGTAAAACGTGGTTCAGTGAAAACGACCTCGGGCCAAACCTGGCGAGCGCAGGCCTGGAAAATGACGGTCGCGGCGCCCTCTCGAGAATCGAAAACGGACAATTCACTAATCGACGTGTCAGGGTGGGGGTCCTGTCCACCCCCGAGCAGTTTCTGGGGATGGCCCCCCCGTCTGGTAACCTCACGGCTCGCGCGGGCGGCGCAGTGGAACTTCTAAAGGTGCTGCCAGTTACCAGACGGCGCCAATGCGAATCGTAAAGTTACCATGGCCCCCTCGCCTCCCCCCTCCCCGCCAGTAGCGGCCGCAATCGCCAGGGGACAAGCAAAAACAAAAGCGGCCCGAATCACGCACTCGAAAGGCGAGCAGCAAAAGTTAGGCCGGGCGTGTCCTCATACAGGCGGATTGTGGACGAAAAATAAAACAGAGTCCAAAAATAATCCAGCAATGCTCAAACATACTAAAAAAATGTTCCCAGGCTATTTGTTACTATTTGAAAATTCCTCCTGTAGAGGGACACGCCCGACTTAAAGCAAAAGCACAACGGCCAGGCCGCTCGAGCCCTTCCTGCCCTGGTTCGCACACGCACCGTCGAGCAGGCAGAGCGCGCGACAAAAGTACGACTTCGGGGCTCTGTGGCTGAGAAAGAGAAGAGAAGCCCTGCACCCATCGGGAGCGGCCAAGAGGGGGGGGTGCAAATCATGACCGGCGGCATGTGCGCGGCCCAGCGGGGGAGCCAGGGACGTATTGGAATAAGAAGAGGCGCCATGACATCTGAGGAAATGTCATGGCCCCCGCCATGATATCCACCCCCCCCTAGTCATCATCCCCCTCTTTGCCGCCCCCGACCCCTGTGCCTCATCCTCTCCAGAGAACTCCTAGGCGCCGCGACGTCTCCCGGGCACGCTCGGGTGCGCGCCGAGGCTGCCAAGACGGCCCGGGCAGGCCACCCAGGCCGCCGAGATGGCCAAATATCGCCTCGAGAGACACCGAAAAACCGAAAGTCCCAAGACAGCCTTAACACGGCTCTTAGGATACCCCACAGGCGGTCAAGAGAGCCCCAAGACGGCCGAATCAGCCCCCAAAGCGACCTCAAGATGGCCCTCAGGGACCCCAGGGCTGCCCCACAGGGGCCCAAGACAGCCGCATCATTATCGGCCCAAATCGGCCCCACGAGAGCTCCTCGACAGGCGCAGACGAGAGGTGTCACATGTGACGGCCTTCCGTGTTCGACGCTTCGCCGCCAAGAATGCTTAGTTGGCTTGGTGGCGGGACTTGCCGCAGGCAGCCTGATAAGGCCACGCGATGACCTCGGAGAAATCCGAAAGACACCCGGTGTGCCCCAAAGAATTCCAAACACTAGTCAGCTCGCAGGGCCGGGGAGGGCCCCCAGAGGACGAACGCCAGGAAGGCACGTGCAGAAACGGTTCCCTGCTCACAGCACGCCTGGCTATTCGCCAGCGTGGCTGCGCAGGCCCCCGGGTCTCTGATACGGACGATGGGGCGGGCCGACAAAGGAACGCGGGCCAGGCAAGGGACAAAACACCAGTCAACAAGGCTGGGAGGACTCGATTGGACCCATAACATCTGAAACCTGCCTTCATAAAAACGTGTTGGAAAAACCTGCTCAGGTGGTTTTGATGGTGGTGGACGCTGTCTTCAATACGAGCGCGACTCATGCGAAACCCCAAGCGAACGCTTTACTGCTGTTGCTCGGGCGCATGCATCAGGCGTGCGCTTGCAAGTCGTGCAGGCGCGCCCCGCTCGCGCTTTACTGGCTTTTGCCACAGCACTGCGAAGTTCGTGCGCACGTGTTGCCGGGAGTGTGTATGTGTGTGTGTGTATCCGTGTGTGCGTGCAGATTGCTGAATGTGCGTGCGCATACACACAAATATACACGCGCGCAAAGTTTTTGCGTCGGCGGCTTGGCAGAGTGACTGCGCTGGAGGAGAGGCATCGGTAGGGCATACAAACGCGAATTAGGTCGCGAGGCGCGAAGGGGTGAGGAGGCGCCCGGCGGTGGCGGGAGGGAGACGGAAGCCGGGCCCGCTCAGACCGGGGCCAGGCGGCGGCGGGGCGGCGCCGGGGGCAGGCCAGCAGCAGCAGGGCGGCGGCTGGGGGGGGGGGGGGAGCCGGCATGGTAGGCTGCCAGCAGGCAGCAGGCCGTGCAGGGGGAGGCAGTGCCCGGCGACGGCTGGAGGAGAAGGTGTGCGCGCAGCGCCAAAGGTCAGCGGGTGCCGAAGCAACGCGAGCCACGAGAGCACCCAGGCTGGCGGCGACCAGTGCGGGACCGCCTCAGAGGAGGGGTCGGCCTGAAAACCAGGCAAAGCAAGGAGTCGAGCGGGGCAGGGCGCGGGCGGCAGGACCAGCCCAGGCCCAAGGCGGGGAGGGGGCGGGGCCGGGGGGGCCAAGGACGGCCCTGCCTAGGGCGGGGGCCGCGGGGGCGGGACAGCCCGATGCGCCGTGTGCGCAGCACCACATACATTCACAATTGACGTCGGCAACCATGTGCGCAGCACTACGGCAGTCACAGTGGCTGCAACGCCACAGTCGAGCAAGCGAAGAGGAGAGACCGACCAAATACACATCCACATACATATTTACATTCACGATCGATACCCAGACCCTTACGCACTTCATGCGCACGTAGACATAAGCATGCGCATCCGCATGCATATACGGCAGTTTCGTGTCGTGTCGTCCCTGGCGCTGGTTCATGACACCGCGGGGATCGATCAACCTTGAACGATCGGCTGTTTCAGGAACGCCAGATCGTTCAACGACGGGTCGATTTTGGGCCACGGGCGGCGTTCAACCTTGAACGCCTGCGCTGGGGTCGCCGCAGGTCGACACGACGCGAACTTACCGTACCACATACGTATTGTGCAACTGACGCATGACATCAGGAACTGTGCACGTGTGCAGAGCTCCCAAACCATGTGATGTGATGCTGTGCAGGGCTTCTGCGCCGGTGCAACAAGATGGGAATGAGAGTGGCATGCGCTGCGGGAGGGCTGGAGGCGTGCGCGACAACCCGTGGAGTCCCCAACGCGGCGGCTTCGCCGTCGATTGCCCGGCCGCGACCCCCGCGTTTCCGGCCGCACCCCCGCGCGCACTGTCAGGCGAGGATCTTCAACCTCGCGTGGGGGGGGGGGGGGGCACGAGCGCGCACTGCAGGCAGACCGGTCATGCTGCTGTTGCCGCCGCCGCCGCGGCCGCGGCTTCTCCTCCTCCTCCTCCTGCCTCCTCCTCCTCCTCCTCCTCTCCTCCTCCTCCTCCTCCTCCTCTCGCCTCCCCTCCTCCTCCTCCTCCTCCTCCTCCTCCTCCTCCTCCTCTCCTCCTCCTCCTCCTCCTCCCTCCTCCTCCTCTCCTCCTCCTCCTCCTCCTCCTTCTCGTTCTCCTCCTCCTCCTCCTCCTTCCTCCTCCTCCTCCTCCTTCTCCTCCTCCGCCTCCTCCTCCTCCTCCTCCTTCGCCTCGTCACTCTCTCCTCCCCTCCCTCTCCCCACTCCACTTCCAAGACCTTCCGCCCCTCCCCACCTGCGTACGAGCAGTGAGCCTGGCCTCCTCCAGCGGGCCCCACCTCTCCAGATGGCAGGCGTCCTGCCGCCCGCTTCCCTCGACTGCTCACGCTCCCTTTCCTCTCGCTTCGGCTGCTCCAGCTCCTGCCTGCTTCTGCTGCCGACGCCAGTGCAGTCAAGACGATGCAACGAGGAACAGTTTGGGTTCGGGAGGGGCTCGATGCGCTTTGGGTCCTTCCATGGCCGTTCCTCTGGCCCTCCTCGTGCACGCAGGCGCTCTTTGGGGCCGAAAAGGGGCGTCGCTCCTTACTTGTCGTTCCTTACTTCACCAGCCCGACTGTACTGCCCCCTCTCTTCCCCGTCCTTCTCCCTCCTGCCCCCTGCTTCCCCCTCCCTGCTCCACTGCGTCTTTCCTGCTCCCTCACCCGTGCTCCTGCTCCGTGCTCCCTGGTCTCCTGGTTCCTCTCCCTCCCTGCCGCCCTCCCTCGTTCTCACTCCTGCCTCCCTACGGTCCCTCGGCCAACGAAGACGGCCGAAGGGAGAGGGGCCAGCCTACCCTCCACAACTCCGACCTTCACACCCGAAGACGCCAACTGCCACCATCCAGTGCTCTCCTCCCTCCTCTGAGGAGCAACGTCAGGGGGAGGGGGGGAATGGAGCTGACATCGATCTGGAATCGTTGAGCTGGAGCTGGAATCATTGCCGAGGGGGCAAAGCATCGAGCCGACAGATCGGCGATGGGTTCCTGCGGCGGGAGTACGACCGAGAGCTCGGCGATAGGCCCCCGATGGTGGAGATCCGGACAGCTCCTGGGCGGGGTGGGCTAATTCGCAGGTCTCCATCGGCGATGAGTGGACAATTGGGGTCGATGCATCCCCCCTTGAGCCTATCCCCTGACGCTTCCCCCGATTATCCCCCCCCCCTCCCCCCATAGTTGTTCTTCGGCGTGCTGTCGGGCCCGCTCGTGCCCGTAGGGTCAGAGAGCGCAGCGCGGCCAGCAACGTGCATCACGGCCGCGATCGGCAGGTGCAGCAGAACGACCCCAGCGAAGCACGGGCCTATTGAGCCAGACGGACCTGCGAGCGCTCCAGGACAGCTGGGCACAGCGACTGCAACCTGGCCCTGGGAAGGAACGGACGAGCACGCCTTCTCCTCCTCACCCTCCTCGAGAACTTCCTTTCATATCCTTCCTTCGTCGGCGATCGAGCCCAGGGTATCCTGTAGGGGAGGAGGGGGGATCAAGGAGGTGACGGCCGATGACCTGGTCTTTTCGCTCTGGGCAGCCCCACGTGCGCCCGCGCGCGCCAGCACTGCGTACCCTCGTCGGGCCTGCGCAGCCGACGAGGTCAGGCTGTTCCGGGGGGGAGGGGGGGTCGCTTTCCCTGGCCATCGCTCGGACGTCCATTTCCTGTGTTTTTTTCGGTTTCGTGCGTGGTTTTTCTCGCGAAATGATGAAGGATGCTCCTCGATGGTCCTCGCCGAAGGAAGAATGCACACCGTCCGAGCGATGCAAGTTCCCAGAGCCTGCCTCTCCCCGAGCTGGTCCGTGCGCCCCGGCGGGGGCGGACTGCCTCTGCCTCCGCGGTAGCGTCCCAGCGGGGCCGCTCTGGAAGCCGTGCACCCTACGGTGCTACAGGCTGGGATGCCGGGGTGCAGTAGGAGGAGGAGGAGGAGGAGGAGGAGGAGGAGGAGGAGGAGGAGGAGGAGGAGGAGGAGGAGAGGAGGAGGAGAGAGGAGAGAGGAGGAGAGGAGGAGGAGGAGGAGGAGGGAGGGAGGAAGGAGGAGGGGAGGAGAGAGGAGGGGGAGGAGGAGGATGGAGGAGGAGGGAGGAGGAGGAGGGAGGAGGAGGAGGAGGAGGGAGGGAGGGAGGGAGGGAGGAGGAGGAGGAGGAGGAGGAGGAGGAGGAGCAGGCAGGTGAGGGGGGGAAACCTGTACTTAGGAAGCGTGTTTTTGGAGTTCGGAGGCGGGCCCATCGGCTTAGATCCCTGAAGCACCCACTAGAAAGGGCTCACCAAGATCTTCCGGGGCGGCGGCATCGCGGCGGCCACCTACGGGGTCAGGGCATTGGGGATGAACGATTCGGGGCTCCAGGATCTCAGAGCCGTTACTGGTTATGCGCTCTTTGGGAAAGCAAAAAGGAGATCTCGGGCTGTTCAATACCTTCTCACCGACCCCCCCACCGACCTCGACCCCGCCTACCTCGTTGACACCCTCCCGCTCATCACCTGGCTGGTGGCGTTGCACCAGCAGTGGATCGCAGATAACATCATGCAGACCATGTTTTAACGCGGCTGTGGCAGCAGCTCATCTTGGATGGGCTATGGTCACGGGACCAGCAGGCGCTGTCGTTCAGACGCTCAGGTGACTAGGATGGACCGTGGATGACTACGCACACTGGAGGGGCCCCCAGGGCCTGAAAGTGGACCTCAGCAATTCGGGGACCCGCACGCTAAAGGCACTGGTACACCCCACGGTTAGAAGTAATCAAGAATTACAGGCTACTAAACATCTCGGTTGGAACAACGTCCCGTACTACGAACGTGTTTGAGAGGAGTTGCGGAGGATGGGAGGCAGAGGCGAGAAAATTCAGGCTGATCTCGTAATCGCTCATTGTTCTGGAGGCCCCTGGACGCACTCGAAGTTGTTCTTGTAAAGATACGAGATGGATCCAATATGCCTGTGGTGCCAGCAGGCGCCAACTATAGGACACAGGCTGCATGTTTGCGACGGACCTGCTGCGTGGCGGCGATATCAAGATTTTGGAGGGTTGCACTCCACCTACCACGGCGCTGGAGATTGTCCGCTCGTGGAGTATGAGGTGGCTTCTAGCAGAAGAGATGACTTTCCACCTCCCCTCGAGGGCCCAGACGCAGGGTATGTTTGGAGACCTGGGCCCTCTGGAACCTTCTTCGGTTGCATACTGGCCTGTTCCTGGGCCAGTCCAGTCTGCAGGGATGGCCGAACGCTATGCTCTGTACATGCGGTTATGCCCCATGGGCGCGGAGTCCACTAGTATTACTGATCATGCCAACCTCGTCAAGAGCCTGGACAAAGGGCCTAAAACTATGCGCGAACCTACCCAACCATATTTTGAAGACTGGAAGTTGTTTGTCTGGAAGCTCGAGGATATAGGAAGACAGAACGTCAATGTTGTCTGGATGCCGTCGCACAAGACTCGGATGTGGCCCGAAAATAGAAGGTATCCTGCACGGTGGTTCCCAGGCAACGCCCTGGCTGACAAGTATGCCAAGTTAGGAGCCATCCAGCATCCCAGGACCCCTCACTTTCAGGAGCGCTTGAGGAGTGCCGAACAGTATGCCAAGCAGTTCACCAAGATGCTCGGGAGCACATTGTACCAGCTGAACCGAGTAGGGTTTCCAGACGTGTCTAGAATTAGGAATCCACAAATCATGCACCCAAGACAGATTGGGGGCGAATAGGTGTGCACCATCAGGCTAGTGAGAGGTGACAAAGGTCACCTTGTTCATGACGAACGGGGACTTTGGGGCTGCAGGACGTGTAGAGTTACCTCTGCCCGTCGGGATCGAGTTGTCAGCCTCCCTTGCCCTGGGGTCCCCCAGATTGTTGCTAGGTCTCACGAATCCCATAGACTGTGGGTGGCGGGGGACACGTACTACTGCAACCAGTGCGGGTCGTACGCCACGGGCCAGACCAAAGGACTGGCCGCCCGCTGCCCACCGTCAGGACCTGGGGAGTGGGGGAGGAGGGCTCTCAAGCAGCTCAGGGTGGGAAGAACCCGAAGACAAGGCAATTCGTCGGGCGCCCATTCCCTGTCCACTGGTCTCCCCCCCAGGTCTCTTTCTTTCCGTTCTAAGCTCTCTTGCAGCTTGCTTCGGGATTGACCTTTCAGAGACTCCAGAGGCTCCAGAGGAGGAGGAGGAAGAGGATCGAGAGGAGGATGATCGAGGAGGAGCAGCAGCGGCACGAGGAGCAGGAAAATAGGGAGGAGCAGGAGGAGGAGCAAGGAAGGAGGGGGGGAGGAGGAGGAGGAGGAGGAGGAGGAGGAGGAGGAGGAGGAGGAGGAGGAGGAGGAGGAGGAGGAGGAGGAAGAGGAGGAAGTGCAGGAGGAGGAAGATGATGATGTGGAGGAGGAGCAGCAGCAGCAACAGAAAGAGGAGGAGCAGCAGCAGCCCTATATCTGTACATGCATATATCTAAGTAGGCGTGTGCCCTATATGCCCCATAAGCCCTAGATGTCTTATGATCCCTATAACCTCGATGCGCCGTAAAAGACCTATAAGCCCTATAAGCCCTGTATGCCCTATACGCCCTGCAAGCCCTACACGCCGTGTAAGCCCTATTGGCCCTGTAAACGCTGCAAGCCCTATATGGCCTACGGGCAGCGACGGGGCTGCGACGGCGACAACACAGCCGATAGACCCGCAACCAGGCCCAGTTCCTTAAGAAACGAACAAGAACCCCTAGGTGCAAGCACTGTCTTGTGAAGAGAGAAAGAGAGAGACTGAGAGAGAGCGAGAGAGAGAGAGAGAGAGAGAAAGAGAGAGCTCTCTAGACCACCTCACGCCCTAAAGGGTTGACGGGATTACATTGCGATCCGATGTTGAAGCCCATTTGGAGGACTGGACGTGCCTGCATGTTCGAAGTACCATCCCCGAGAGCGCCCAATAGGGCAACGGGTGCGTTACAGAAAGAGGCGTCGTTACACTTGCAGCCTGGGGACACAGGATAGGGCCCAGGAGGGGCCCCAGAACACTCCGAGAGGGCCCCAAGGGGGCCCTTCGCGAACGCCCCGACGCGAACGCCCGGCATTCCGACGCGAACGCCCGGCCTTCCGACGCGAACGCCTGGCGCGAACGCCCCACGCGAACGCTTGGCACTGCATGTGCGAAGCACCCCCGCCCTCGAGGGTCCAACGCCTGGCAAATGGGGAGAGCACGATGCCCCCCCCCCCCCCCAGCTGCCAGGCATTGACATGATGCCTGGCGGATGCCTTCTCCCGAAACCGCGAAGCCCATGCCCGGCAACTGGGCGCTTGCAGGGAGGGGGCAGCGGGCCAGGGGGCCGTTTGCCAGGCATGTCACTCACAGTGTCTGGCAATTTGAGGGGCACGATGCCCCTTCCTGTTACCTGGCATGAAGGGGTCCGTGCCAGACGTTCGCACTTTTGGGCTCGGCGTTGGCCGAAACCGTTTCGGAGGGGCCCGAAGGCCTGGGAGGCCCCAAGAGGGCTCCACCAATAGCAGTGAAAGTTCGGTCGCGCGAGTGCTCGTTCGCGCAACCGAGCTGGGGCTTTCTTGGGGCGGCCTTGGCCGTGATTGAAGTCGTCTTGGGCTTTCTTGGGGCCATCTTCCCCTACGCTCTTGGGGCCGTCTTGGCCCCTGCTTGGCCCCTTCTTGGGGATCATTTGGGGCCCTCTTGGGACCCTCACAGGCCGCCTTCAGGCCCCACTAGGACTCCAAGAGGGCTCCGAGAGCACCCCTCCAGGATCCTCCGGAGAACTTTCGGGAGCGCCCTCGGGGGCCCTCTTGGGACTCTCTTGAGGCTACCTTGGGGCCCTTAAGGCGAACACAGCCTTCAAGGCTGGTTTCGCGATGCGCGCTTCGGATTAGCATGGCTGATTGTAGCTAGGGGGTAAAACAAGTAAACATATGCGCATGCATCTACGCGGGTACGAAAACATCTGCCTCGAGCTCACCAGATATCGCAAGACCGTGACATTCGCTTCAAACACTTTCCATCACAAGCCAAACCGATCCTACAAATGATGCTGGCCCGGCCCACGCGCGCGTGGAGCACACGCTCGTGTTCCTTCGATATTATATACGCATCCTCTCCCTCCTGTTTTCTTTTTCTCACGCCTCTCCCTGTCTTCCTGCTGATGCTGCTTGCTGTCCATCGGGGGCGCTCCTTTCCCTCATCCCCCTCCTCCTCCTCCTCCTCCTCCTCCTCCTTTTCCACTCCTCTCCTTAAGCATAACTGTTTTGTCGCACCTTGAGGCCAGTCGGAAGGGCGGGCCCGACGTTTCGCCTGAGACTTCCTCACCAGTTATAACCCTGAAGCTTAAAATGGCAACGGCTTCACAAATGGAGCCATCGCGCCGCGCACATTCGATTTATAAATTTGCAAGAGCTTCACGGATTGAGGGCGGGTGGTTTCCAAACTGTGGCTCTCTCCTACCTCCGCGCACATTCGTCGAACAAAAGTGCAAGAACTTCACGGATTGAAGGCGGTTCGTTTTCAAAGTGCAGCTCCCGGCTTAGCGCCGAGCACATTCGTCTCTAAAAGTTATTAGAGCTTCACGGATTGAGGTCGGCTTGTTTTCAACATGTGGCTCGCCTTAGCGCCGCGCAGATTCGTTTTAAAACATTGCAAGGGTGTCACGGACTCCTATGGCTAACGTACCAGGAAGGGCCTTTTGGATCGATTCACGATGGTCAGGGCGCCACACGTACTACTGATTCACGGTGTTGAAGTCCCAGGAACACTTCCCTCAGTGGACACGAACACCTGTAGAGGCACGTGAGAAGGGAGCTTGGGGGAGGGTTTATTCTGACATCGTTGATGAGTCTCGGGTTCATACTCCTCCTCCTCCTCCTCCTCCCCCCCTCCTCCTCCTCCTCCTCCTCCTCCTCCTTCTCCTCCTCCTCCTCCTCCTCCTCCCCCTCCTGAGCCACCTGGCTGACTATTGCACAACAAATTACGGTGCAATCGCTAGCGCGCGCGGAGTCGGAACAGAAAGATCCTCACAGGAGGAAGATCGGCACACACGATACGTGCGAAGCGGGTGGGAGAGAGATGGAACGAAAGGAGCAGGAGAGAAGGGAGGGGGAGGGGATCGATAGGGGTGAGCGGAGGAGGGGGGGGAGGCAGAGAGGAGAGAAGGAAGAGGAGCTCGTGACGAGATGCCGACATGCTGGGAATATGACGGAGGGGGAAGGAGAGCACGGGGAGGATGGCGGAGACGACACGGAGAACGATGAGAGCAATGACTCGAATAGCGCTAGGCCTCGCTTTCTCTTTCTTTGCCAGCTTCTTCTCTCGCTTCTTTTCCTTCTTGGAAGCCTTCAACCGAGCGTCTGAATGAGAGATCCACGCTGGCGGAGGATGGTCGAGAGTATAAGACAGCTCACTGGTAGTTGCTCCCCCGTTATGCATCGCCATCTCCACGCACTGCTTGGATGTCTCTGCATCCCTTTTCCGTTGGCCTGGACATGCAACAGCGTGACATCTTAACTCTTTCTAGCCGAATCGAAGCCCTCGTGGCTCGACCCTCGGGTGCTTGCTATCCGAAACAGAGCGGTCGCTAAACTATGCGAAACACGGGCTGAACCACAAGTGGTGCAGAGGTCAAGACCGCTTGAAGTGCGCGGCTGCCCGCTGAGAGGAGAGGACGAGGCGGGCGCGTCATGACGGCTCCCGCGCAAGGCAAGAACAACGGCCAAACAGAGTTACACAACAATGGTTGGCACCGCGAGCTTGCTCTGCAACTGCTCAACAGTAGCACCAGTTACACTGTAACACTACGCTTTGCTGTGTAGCACATGCGGCGAAATCTCCCCTGCCGACGAAGCAGATAGTGCACCAGCAGTACCGAGTGGTAAGACGTGCTCATCGCCACCCGAACCCCCTGGGTATAGCCGACCGCAAGTGAGAAAAGACCCCACGTGAGAGTCAGGCATTCCACTGCGTCGTATGACAACGCAAAACACATCGAGCTTCTTGCAAATCCTAGGTGCCGTCCAACACAACAGACTGGCAACCACAATATATCGGCTGCTCTCGTTCGTTCGCTCGTTTTGCCACTCACTAACCGAGCTGCAATGGACGGCTGGAACAAATATAATCATGGCGGGTGCAACCGCCACAGCGGAGGCCAGTTCGGATGTGCGGGTTGGGTGCTGAAGACAATCCAGTATGTGAAAAAGAGCTCTGGGGTCACCCATGGACATCGCCACCACTGGAGCCTGAAAAGAAGGATGATGATGATAAAACGGAGGGCGAACAGTGAGCAAACAATCATGGAGAGAACAACGATGAATATGAGCAAGAGGATGAGGCGGTAACCAGAAGAGGAAGGCAGGTCAGGCAACGCAAGAGCAGGGGGAGCAAGGACAGAGGGATAAGCAGCAGCGGCATGATGGGGAGGCGCGGGAGGAGCGAGGGAGAGCAGAGGGAGAGGGGGGGATGAGGAGCAGCAGCAGCAGGAGGAGCGCCAATGAGCTGCCCAGAGGGGCCTTCTTCGCCTTCTTCTCCAGCTTCTTCTTCTCTTTCTTCTCGTGCTTCCTCGCCTCTCGCGCCTCCGCCCCTGGCCCAGGAGAGCGGCTGAAGCACCGGGGTTCGCTCGGGAAAGGAGGGGCAAACTCTAACTGCCCCCCCCCCGTCCTTCCCCTCCCCCCTTCTTCGGGCGCGCGCTCACATGGATCAGGGATCCGTGGATCTGGCGCGTGGGCGCCAGGTCCACGCATCGGGGAGCGCAGCCCCCGGGCATGGCGCCAGTGCCGGTTTGGCGACGGAGCGCGCCGACTCCGCACAGAAACGGGACCCGTCGCCAATCCAAGCGCAGCTGATCCATGTTTGTGCTTCCTCGACCTCTGGCCTCTCCCTGTGCGCCCTCGCTCACGGCCTCCCTGACCCTGTCTCCCCACTCCTCCTCCCCCCCTCCTCCTCCCCCTCCTCCTCCTCCTCCTGCCTCCTCCTCCTCCTCCTCCTCCTCCTCCTCCTCCTCTCCCTCCTCCTCCTCCTCCTCCTCCTCCTCCTCCTCCTCCTCCCCTCCTCCTCCTCCTCTCCTCCTCCTCCTGCTCGTGCTCCTCCTTCTCTCCTCCTCCTCCTCCTGCTCCTGCTCCTCCTCCTCCTCCTCCTCCTCCTGCTCCTCCTCTCCTCCTCCTCCTCCTCCTCCTCCTCCTCCTCCTCCTCCTCCCCCCTCCCACTCCCCCTCCTCCTCCTCCTCCTTCTCCTCCTCCCCGTCCTCCTCCCCATCCCCCCCCCCTCCGCGTATCCTATCCTACACAGCAGGATTGGTCCGAGCGAGCGGATGTTCCCGACGCGCCCTTCCAAGCCGAGCGTTTTCGGCCCCTCCAAAATGGCGCCCCCGCTGCAGCGTGGGCATCACTTTGGGATCGGCGCTCTGCTCCCGTCGTTCAGAGCGGCGCTGTCGCCAAGCGCGGGCCACTTTTCTGAATCCGAGTCCTTCCTCATCGTTGTCGACCCCCTCCTTTTTCACTCCTCCGCCTTCCCCCGGTCCTCCTGCTCCCCCAGCTCCTTCCGACTCCAGTTCCTGCTGCTGCTGCTGCTGTTGTTCGTTCTCGTCCTTCCCCTTCCTCCTCCTCCTCCTCCTCCTCCTCCTCCTCCTCCTCCTTTTGCCCCTGCTCATTGTCTTGCTCATCCGCCACATCCTCCTTCCGCCCATGCCACGCGTCGGCGGATGGAGAAACGACCGGCGCAATGGGAAGGGATGGGTGGGAAGGGTAGGATGTCAGAGATGGCGCGAGCGCCCCTGGCTTGCCCGTCCGTTCCCCTCTCCCGTCCCCTTCCTCCCTCTCCCCCCCCCCCCGTGCCCCTGCCCCCCCCCCTCCCATGACCCCTTTGCACCCTGCCTGCTCGTTCCCGCTCCCCCATTTCACCCCCCCCCACACTCCCGTGCCCCGACCCCTTTTCTTCCCTTCCCTTCTCTTCCCCGCTCGCACTCGCCTCCCCTCCGTTCGCGTGGTCTTTCTTCCCCCGCGTGGCCCCCGTCCCCCGTCCGCCCTCTCTCCTTTGGGGCCGGCCCGGCCAGCGGAGGCGCCCTCCTCTTCTCGAGCTCGGCCCGGAGGGCGTCGTTGTGGAGCCTGGACCGAGGGGGGGGGGGGGAGGGTGGTGGGAGGGGTTGGAGAGCGGTGGGCGGGTTGGAGAGCGGAGCGGGGGGAGGGGGGGGGGAGGGCGAAGGGGAGTCGAGTATGGTGGGAGGGGGGGAAGGAGCAACCGAGGGAGGGTAGGGAGGGATCGAACGGGGGCGGCAAGGAAAGGTGGGGGGGAGTGAGGGGAGGAGGTGGGTGATACAGGGGTTGGGATGGAGAGTGGAGAGCGCCTAGGGGAAAGCGGGATTGACTTACATATGCTTATATATTGGTATTTGCGTATATACAGAAGCATGTACAAAAATATGTGCAGACAGACGGCTTGAGAGAGCGAGAGAGAGAGAGAGCAATGAATATACACACCTTACATATAGTCATGGCGCTGCCAGAACGAACACCCATAGTATATTGGTTACAAACCTTCGATACGCATATCTAATATGGGTCGCATGCGAATTGCTTTTGATGTCGTCTGGATCCCGTCGTGGAAACTTCTGGGCGCTCTCTTGGCGGCCTCGTGGTCCGTCCTGGGAACGACGTCGGAACTTTTTTGGGGGCAATCATGGGCGACGTCGGAAACCCGAGAAAAACGGGAGAGCAAGATTCACTGGGCATCACACTGAGAATAAATGCGTTGAGACTCTAAGGACTGTTCTCCTCCTCCTCCTCCTCCTCCTCCTTCTCCTCCTCTTGCTCCTCCGCCCTCCTTCTCTCCCCGTTCCCCCGCCCCCCCCCCTCCCCCGCTCCCCCCGCCCGCCTCCTCCCCCGCCCCAGTCCTGCTGCTCCTGCTTCCCATCTTGGAACAACTGTGGGCCAAGCCGTGGCGGCCAGGAGTCGACTACACGCGAGGGTAGCACCAGGAAGGGCCGCGTGTAGGCCAAATACAAGCGCGCGGGCCACTGCTGGGAGGACCCATGTGAACCCGCACCGAAGGTCCCTCCGGCGAAGGGCCACTCTTACGCGTAGCCGAAGGAAGCGCCTCGTCGCGGCCTCGACCTCAAGGCGGCGTGCCCCCCCGGCCCCCGACGCCAAGGACAGCGGAGGAGGGGGGGGAGGAGGGAGGGAGGGAGGGAGGAGGGAGGGAGGTGAGGAGGGAGGGAGGGAGGGAGTGGAGGGAGGGATGAGGGAGGGAGGGAGGGAGGGAGGGAGAGGAGGGAAGGGAGGCGGAGGAGGGGAGGCGGAGGAGGAGGAGAGGAGGGAGGACAGCGGAGGAGGAGGAGGAGGATGAGGAGGAGGAGGAGGACGAGGGAGGGAGTGAGGGAGGGAGGGAGGGGCAGCACCGACCAGCAGCGGCCAGGCGCGGCCGCGCAGCGCCTGGCCACAGCTCGCGCCTCCTCGGCTCGACTCCTGGGAGCCTCGGCGCGCGTGTCCGCTGCCGAGCGTGCCACCGCCGATGCCGCCGCACCCTAAGCCGAAGCCAGGACGAGGACACTATTGGGCGAGGGAAAACTCGAAAATCTCTCAGGTCCCCCAATGGGATGGTTATTTCCATACGCTTCTGCCCCATCGTTCACTGGAATATGAACTCGCGTCATCCCAGGGGTGACCCTTATCACCCACCCCTCCCGTGCCAAATCATACTATGCGCGCACCTGTTGATCAACAAATCGGAGTTTTCAAAAATCCTTTGCACTAGAATGGCTACAGTCCACGCGCGCGGGTCGTCGCGCACGCATGCAAGAATTCTTCAAATACCTTACCCGCAAGGATTTCAAGAGCGAGTTTCCCGAAACGTATCATACATCAGTAGCTTCGCAACGTAGTCCATCAACAAATGCGCGCACGGCGTTGCGAATTGTTGCGAACACTATACCGGCCAGCGTGCCAGCAAGTAGCGTCGCACATTGGGCGACAGTGGCGACCACGGCTACACCAAATTACACCAAGTTGCACGAAGTTACACTTAGTTGCACCTAGTTGCCCCCGGATGCACCCACGTACACTTAGTCACACGCAGACGTCCACGATTTTGCAAGTTCACGCGTGCCCCCCCCTCCACGTAGCTGAGAATATTGACGCAACAATCGACGCCCAGTTGCCCACGAATTCGCCAATTCATGCGCACTGGCGCTCGCATTTTCACGCGGCTCTTTGATGGCGCGCCCCGATGCGGCAAAGCACCGCTTGAAAATTATAGGTATATCCGCGGGCAGGGGTGCAAAGGGAATTTACGCACAAAACCATCCTGTTGCACGGAATTCCCCACGTCCCTCTGGAGCGGCTGGCGACGACAACGACGACGATCGCGACGATCAGGACGACGACGAATAAAACTATGATAGCGACAAAAACGACGACGACGGCGGCGACGACGACTACGAAGACCAAGACCAAGACCAAGAAGACGACGACGACCAAGACCAAGAAAACGACGACGACGACGACCAAGACGACGACGACGACAGCCGCGACCACGACCATAGCGACGACGAAGACGATGCCAAGCGGCGGCGGCGGACCCCTCCTCTTTCTGAAAATCTTCCTATTCCCCCCTCCTCCTACTCACCGCCACTCGATTATCCGTCCTCGATCCTCCTTGTCCTCCTCCGCCTCGTCCTCCTCGTCCTTCCGCATCCATCCTCAATCCCCCAACTCCTCCTCCTCCGTCTCCTCTCATGCCTCCTCACCATGTCTCTACCATCTCCCCTTACTCCTGGGATGGCCGGAAATGAAGGGCGCGCGAGGAGACTTGAGCAATATCAACTTGATTTGAAAAAGTATACTGAAGTAGTGAGATTCAGGTCTGGGTTGAGGTCGACATGTCTCCGCGGGGTGCTAGACCTGCTCGCAACGCCGGCAGCGCTGCACGCGACCATGGCGAGCTTGTATGGGCTGCTGCCCCTTCCTCGCCGCTCGGGCCCCTGCAGGCGCAGCCACTTCTGGACGCAGCTCTGCGGGTCCAATCGGGTCCATCGAGGGTCCTTTGCCCCTCCTCCTTCTCCTCGCCCCTCCTCCTTCTCATCGATCCTCGCCCCTCCTCCTTCTCCTCGTTCCTCCTCGTCGCTACTCCTCCTCGCTCCTCGGGCCCGTCCTCCTCCATCCCCCTTCCTTATGGGTAAATGCCCCCTGTCGCACCCCGAGGCCCGAGGCCGGTCGAAAGGGCGGGCTGGGCGCCTCGCCTGGGAACTCCTCACCATTCCTCCTCCTCCTCCTCCTCCTCCTCCTCCTCCTCCTCCTCCTCCTCCTCCTCCTCCTCCTCCTCCTCCTCCTCCTCCCCCTCCCCTCCTCCTCCCCCTCCCCCTCCCCCTCCCCCTCCTGCTCCTCCTCCTCCTCCTCCTCCTCCTCCTCCTCCTCCTCGCCTGTTGCAAGAGTTTCACGGATGGAGGGCGGTTCGCTTTCAAAAAATGGATTTCAGCTCAGCGCCTCACCGTCGCAAAGAGTTTCACGGATGGAGGGCGGCCCGCTTCCAAAATGTTTCTATCGTCCTAACGCAACGCACATTCGTTCTAAAACTTTGCAAGATCTTCACGGATTGAGGGCGGGTGGTTTTCAGAATGTGGCTCCCGCCTGAGCGCCGCGCACATTCGTCTTAAAAGTTTGCAAAAGTTTGACGTGTGGAGGACGGTTCCTTTTTCAAAATGTGGTTCTCGCCTTAGCGCCGCGCACATTCGCCTTAGTGTTCGTAGCAGTTTCAAGGATTCTCATGGCTAGCGTCCCATAAATGGCGTTTTGGCACGATGTCGAAATGTCAAGGCGCAACAATCACGTTCATTCGCGGTGTTGAAATCCCAGGAATGGTGTTCCGGCATACGGTTCATGATCGTCCAGGCGCAGCAGTAACGGTGATTCGAGGCGTTGAAGTCCCAGGAATGGTTTCTGGCGCAACTCCAGATTTTCAAGCGGTTGTCCCCCAACGGGGCACTTCCCTCAGTGAAGATGACCCCTTCCAGGGCCAATGTAAAGGGAACTTGGAGGGAGGTTTTATTGCAATATCGTTGATGGGTCTTGGGTTTACACTGGTCCTCCTCCTCCTCCTTCCTCCTTCCTCCTCCTCCTCCTCCTCCTCCCCATCCTCCTCGCTCCTCCTCCTCTGCGTTCCTCCTGCCCCCCTCGTCGCGCTTGCTCCCCATCGAGGCGGGCACGGGAGCCACGAGCTCAACGGCGTCCGAGGAGCTCTCGCCCGCGTCCGCGGCGATGCGGCGGCAACGCTCCGCGACCTGGGCCAGGTCACCGACGGGGCAGCTTGTCCTCGTCTCTGCCGTCGTCGCCATGGTAAGTCTTGCCCTGGAATAGGTGGAGGCTGTTTCGGCGAGCTCGGGAGGCCCTCCAATACTTGCGCTACCCTTTCAGCCCCTTGAAGTGTCCAGAGCCCCCTCTGGGGAACTCCAGGGGTCAGGATCCGGGGCGGCAGGACTTACTACGTCGTGGTCATCGTCGTCGTCATCGTCGTCGACGTCCTCTTCCTCTACTTCTTTTCCTTTTTAAGAACTCCTCCCTGTCGCGCCACGAGGCCAATCAGAAGGGCGGGCAGGGCGTTTCGCCAGGGACGTCCTTCCCACTCACGATCCTGAAGATTAGCATTGGTAGCCGTTTCGCACATGTAAGGCGGGTGGTTTTCAAAATGTGGCTATCGCACTGGCGCCGCGCACAGTCGTCTCAACACTTGGCAAGAGCTTTACGGATTGAGGGCGCTGTTTTCAAGATGTGGCTCTCGCCTTAGCGCCACGCACATTCGTTTTCAAATGTGCAAAGCGTCACTGAATCAGGGCGGTTCCAATTCAAAATGTGGCTCGCGTCTCAGCGCCGCGCACATTCGTCTTAAAACATTGCAAGTGCTTCATGGATTGAGGGTGGGTGGACTTCAACATGCGGTTCCCGCCTTAGCGCCGCGCGCATTCGTCTTAAACGAATTCAGGATCTTCACGGGTTGAGGGTGTTGTTTTCACAATGTGGTTCTCCCCTTGGCGCCGCGCACACTCGTTGAACAACTCTGCAAACGTTTGACACATTGAAGGCGGCTCCTTTTAAAATCCGCCACCCTGTCGGCGTGTGTGAGGGGCTTCTCCGTTCGACTCGTCGTCTCCGTCGTCTCCGTCCTCCCCCTCCCAGGGCTCTCCTCCTCAAGCGCGCTACCCAAAGCGAAAGTAAACGACGTTCTAGTGGAGTCGAAGGGAAGCCCCTTCCCTTTGATCCCTTCCCCGCAAGGGGGGGGGGGAGGGGGGGGGGCGTCCCGGGGCAGATACGACGCCCGCCGGGGCGCACTTCCCTCGAGCGGGCACGCACGGGATGCACTTCCTCTCCTCCTGGTCCTCTTCCTCCCCCTCCTTTTCTCCTCCTCCTCCTCCTCCTCCTCCTCCTCCTGCTGTTCTCCTCCTTCTCCTCCTCCTCATCCTCCTCCTCCTCCTCCTCCCGCAGAGGCGTCCCGGGAGCGGGCTCCGATCAAAATGGCCCCCCCCCCCCCCCCCTAGGGCGCATTTTACTCGAGCGGGGGCACGCCCGAGTGCACTTCTTCCTCTTCCGGGAGACGTCCCAGTCAGAATATCACACTCCCGGGCGCATTTTCCTTCGAGCGGGCACACAAAGGCTGCACTTCCTCCTCTTCCTCCCCTCCTCCTGATCCTCCTCCTCCTCCTCCTCCTCCTCCTCTCTCCCTCCCCTCCCCTTCTCCCCCCCTCCTCCTCCTCCTTCTCCTTCTCCTCCTCCTCCTCCTCCTCCCGCTTCCCTCTCCGCTCCTCCTCCTGCTCCTCCTCCTCCTCCTCCTCCTCCTCCTCCTCCTCCTCCTCCTCCTCCTCCTCCTCCTCCTCCTCCTCCTCCCACTCCTAGCCCTTTCGATCAGGGTCGGCGGCACTGGCCGTCAGGCCTCTCCAATATGATTCCTGCCTTAGCGGCGCGAACATTCGTTCTAACAACTTGTATGTGTTTCACGGATTCCCATGGTCAGCGTGACAGGAATGGTGCTCTGGAAAGACTCAGGAGTGCGAGGGCGCAAAAGTTACTTTAATTCGCGGTGCTGAAGGCCCAGGAATGGTGTTCTGATGCAATTCAGGACCGTCAGGACGCAACAGTCCTGTTGATTCGTGGCGTTGAAGTCCCGAGAATGGTGTTTCGCACGCTTCAGGGTCTTCAAACGGTGATCTCCCAACGAGGCAGTTCCCGCAGTGGGAGTCAATCCTTGCAGGGGCCTATGGAGAGGGGTTTATTCCAACATCGTTAATGAATCTTGAAATTCCACTGGTCCTGCTCCTGCTGCTGCTGCTCCTCCTGCTCCTCCTCCTCCTCCTCCTCCTCCTCCTCCTCCTCCTCCTCCTCCTCCTCCTCCTCCTCCTCCTCCTCGTCAACCAAACCCAAGGCAGCCGTGCCGCCACCACCATCACGGCCGCGGCAGGGAAAGAGGAAGGGGAGCTCTAATGGTCCATAGAAGCGCCAGATGCAAGCAGGTGTTTGAAACCATTCGCTATGATGCTTATGGTGGGGTGACGATGGTGATGATGGTAGTGGCGGTGGTAATGATGATGATGGTGATGATGGTGCTTACGTTGATAAGGATGATGATGATGATGATCATGATGAGGATGATAATGCTGATCATGCTGATGATGATGCTGATGATGATAATGCTGATGATGCTGATGATGATGATGCTGATGCTGATGATGATGATGATGATGATGATGATGATGATGATGATGATGATGATGATGATGATGATGCTTACGCTGATGCTGATGCTGATGCTGATGCTGATGACGATGTGTTCTTCCCGTGCGCTGGGGGGGGGGGGGGCGGTGCGCCTCCGCGGCGCTGGCGGCTCGCGGCTTGTCCCTCGCCCCGGCCGGCTCGCCGGCCGCCGCCGGCCCGCGGCCTCGAGCGCAGGCGCGCGCCCCGACCCCTGCGCCCGCTGGGGTCTGTCCGTCGGTAGACGTCGACGTCGTCGTCGTCCTCCTCCTCCTCCTCCTCCACTTCCTCCTCCTCTTCCTCTCTCCTCCTATCCTCCTCATCATCCTCCTTCTTTCTGCCTCCTCCTCCTCCTCCTCCTCCGCCTTCCCCCCCTCTCCTCCTCCTCCTCCTCCCCCTAGTCTTCCTGCTCCTGCTCTCCTCCTCCCGCCTCCTCCTCCTATCCTCCTCCTCCTCCCCTTCTCCCTCTCCTCCTCCTCCTCCTTCTCCTCCTCCTCCTCCTCCTCCATCACCTCACTCTCCTCCTCCTCCTGCTCCTCCTCCTCCTCCTCTTCCTCCTCCTCTTCCTGCTCCTCCTCGGCTCAAGCAATTCTGGATCAAGGTTGGTCGGCGCGACCTAGGACCCGCAACGTACAGCAGCTCATGGGCTTGATCACCATCACCTTTTACACCGACAAAGAGATGTTCCTGCGCGAGCTCGTCTACAATGCGCCCGATGGCCTGGACAAGAACGGGTATGAATCCATCGCGGTCCCAGACAAGCGCGAGGCGCAGCCGAACGTCAAGATCAATCAATACCTTCCCCGACAAGATCAACTCAGTTATCACGACCGAATACTCCAGTATCGGCATGACCAAGAACCAGTTGACCAAAATCTTCGGCACCATCGCCAAGGTCGGCACCAAGCCTTTCATTGAGGCTATTGCTGTGGGCGGCGACATCTACATGATAGGGTACCTCAGAGTTGGCTCCTACTCCGCATATCCCGTCTCGGACGAAGTGTTCGGGATCAGCGAGAACAGCTACGACGTGCAGATCATCTGGGAGTCGGGTGCCGTCGGCTCCTCCAAGGTGCAAAATGACACAGAAATGGTGCAAGGGGAGATCAAGAGTGGCACCAGTCTCATCTGCTACTCGAAGGTGGACCAGCCATATTTTTCTGGAGGAGCGCCGCCTGAAGGATCTGGTCAAGAAGCACTCGGAGTTCATTGGTTTCCCCCGCAAGTCGGATGTGGAGAAGTCCAGGAATAGAGAGGGTCGGTATTCGGAGGACGACGAAGTGGATAAGATGGACGAGGACAAGTTCGCCGGCCCAACGGGCCAGAGGCGTGCTAAGATCTCCAGTAGCAGGTCAACAAGCGCCGAGAGGGCGCCGGGGCGCCCCTACACGGCCCATGGTCTCCAGATGGCCACAAAGGCCGCGAACAAAAACAAGAAAACTTCAAGAGGCTCTCCAAGAGGAGAAAAACCCGTTCCCCGTTCGTTCCCCAGTTGAACGACTCGTTCCCTGGCGGAAATTCGAAGTGTTCTCTCAAAAGATGGAACTTCTGAGAGGGTTCTCGGCGGCCGCCAAGAAGGCTCTTGGCGGCCCCTGAAGAGGGTTCTTGGCGGCCCCTGCGAGGGTTCTTGGCGGCCCCCAAGAAGGGTCTTGGAGGCCCCCAAGAAGAATCTTGGCGGCCGTGAGAGGGTTCATGGCGGCCCCTGAGAGCTTCCTTGGCGGCCCCTGAGAGGGTCATTGGCGGCCCCTGGGGAAGTTCTTGGCGGTCCCTGAAAAGGTTTTTGGCGGCCCTTCGGAAGGTTCTCGCCGCCCCCCAAGAAGGTTCTTGGCGGCCCCTGAGAGGGTCTTGGCGGCCCCCGAAAAGGTTTCTGGCGCCCCCCGAGAAGCTTCTTGGCGGCCCCCAAAAAGATTCTTGGCGGCCCCCAAGAAGGTGCTCGGCGGCCCCCGGGAAGGCTCCAGGCTGTCCCTGAGAGGTTTGTCGGGCGGCCCCCCAGATGCCTCTTGGCGGTCCCCAAGAAAGTTTTTGCCGGCCCCTGAGACTCAGAGGTTTGTGTGGCGGCCCCTAAAACGCCTCGTGGCGGCCCCTGAAAAGAATCGTGGCGGCCCCTTAGAGGGTTCCTGGCCCTTGGCGGCCACTGAGACGATTCTAGGCGGCCCCTGAGTGGGTTCTTGGCGGCGTATGAGAAGGTTGTTGACTGTCAGTGAGAGGGTGCTGGGCGGCCTCTGAGAAGGTTTGGGGTGGCCTCTGAGAGGGTCTGTTTGGCGGCCCCTGAAAGTGTTCTGGGAGGCCTCTCAGAGCGTTCTGAGCGGCCCCTGAGAGGGTTCTCGGCGTCTCCCAAGAGGTTTCTTGGAAGCCCCTGAGAGGCCGCGGCCCCTGACAAGGATTCTTGTCAGCCCCTGACAAGCCTCTTCGCGGCCCTGAAGAGGGCTCGTGGAGGTCCATAGAAGCTTCTTGGCGGCTCCTGCGAGGCCTCTTGGCTCTTGGCGTCCACTGGGAAGCTTGTCGGCGTCCCCTGAGAGATTCCTCGGCGGCCCCTTGAAGGGTGTTTGGCGGCCCCTGAAAGGGGTTCTTGGCAGCCCCTGGGAGGGTGCTTGGCAGTCCCCGAGACGGCTCTTGGCGGTCCCTGAGACGGCTCATGGCGGCCTCTGGGGAGGTTTGTTATGGCGGCCCCCATTACGGCGCCTCTTGGCGCCCCCTGAGAGGCTTCTGGGCGGCCCCTCAGAAGGTTCGTGGCCCCTGAAAGACCTCCTGGCGGCCCCTTGGGAGGGTCCTTGGCAGCCTCTGAGAAGGTTGTTGGCGGCCTATGAAGGCTTCTGACTGCCACCGAAGGCTTCTTTGCAACCTCCCATTGGGAGCCTTAGGGAGCCCTGAGAGAGACACTTTTGAGAGGTCTCTGATAGCACTATGAGAGGCCTCTTGGAGCCGAGACCTCTGAGGGCCATCAGAGTGACCTCCCTCTGAGAAGCCTCTGAGAGCTCTCAGAGATGCCTATGAGAGACCAAGGCCTCTCGTATGCCTCCGATAAATCCTCGAGATCCCTCTGAGAGCCCTTTGAGAGCTCAGTGGGAGCTTTCTGAATCACCTGAAACTTCTGAATCGCTTCTTGTGGCTAGGTGGCCGCGGCTGCACTCCTTCGGCTGTGCGCGTTCCTGGTGGGCCACTGTCGCGGGAGGAGAAGATGCGCATGCGCGCTATCCCCATCATTTTCGCCGCTTTGAAAAAGCAGACGCCCGCACCTCCCTGTGGGCCTTCTCTGGTTGCCCCCTCAGCCCCTAGAAACCTCGGGCCCCGCCTCGCACGGCGCCTCCCTCCTGGGATGCCTCGATAGGACCCGGAGTGGTGCTCAAGCGAGTGCCCAGTTTTGAAAAAGGAGCCTCCCTTAACCTCCCCCTCTGGGCCTTCTTTGGTTGCCCCCATCAGCCATCAGACAGAGGCCTGGGCCCCCGCCTCGCACGGCGCTCTGGAATTTCTCGAGAGGACCTGAAGTGGAGCTCGAGCTAGAACCCCGTTTTGAAAAAGGACGCGCCCGCACCTCCTCCTCTGGGCCTTTTCTGGTTGCCCCCTCAGCCCCCAGAGGCCTCGGGCCCCGCCTCGCACGGCGCCTCCCTCGGATGCCTCCAGAGGATCCCTGTTGCAGGCGAAACGGAAACAGGCAATACAACGTTCAGACCGACAGTGCGTCAGAGCAAACGAGCAGGCGGCAACGACATCTAAACTCGAGCAGAACGAACGAACAAACGAGCAGAACAAACGAGCAGGCGAGCAGAACAAACTAGCAGGCGATTAAAGCAAACGAGCAGGCGACTGACGTCGGCTACGACATTACCCCGCGCCGCGGGCCCCCTTTCATTCACGACTCAGCACTGATGGTGATGGTGGGTTTCTGGGGCTCGTCCCTGACTTGCGAGCTGTTGTGCTCGTGGCTGGTTGTAGGTCGGCGGTCCTCCTCCTCCTCCTCCTCCTCCTCCTCCTTTTCCTTCTCCTCCTCCTCCTCGTCCTCCTCCTCTTTCTTCCCCTCCTCGTCCTCGCCGTCCCTCTCCTCTTCCAGCTCCTCCTCCCCGTCGCGTTCCTCCCCTCGCTCTCCGGCTGTTCCTCCTTCAGCCCCTCCACCTCCTGTTCCTCTTGCTCCTTGTCCTCATTGTGTTCCTCCTCCTATTCCTCGATCCTCTTTCCTCTTCGCCCCCTTTTGTTCCCGCTCCTCCTCCTCCCTCTCCTCCTCCTCAATCCTCTTTCCTCTTTCTCCTCCTCCTCCAATTCCTCCTCCTCCCGCCCCTCTTCCTTCTTATATGTTTTCCGTCCCCATCACCTCCTCCTCCTCCTCCTCGTCTTATTCCTCCTCCTCCTCCTCCTCCTCCTCCTCCTCCTCCTCCTCCTCCCCGCGATGGGTCTATCGTGCGTAACACCTTTTCGGTGATTCAGAAGCGCAGGTTCTCCAACATCGAGAAAAGCAAAGCCATTGCCACGCACGCTAATACAACAACATTCCTGACGAACTCGCTCCCCGGTCGGATTCGTGCTGTTTCGGCGGCAACGCAAGCGGCTACGTGTAAGGGTTGAACTCCTGTTTGTGGTCGCTACGACATCTTAACAACACGGTTTTATGTATGAGTTCCGCCGGGGAACGAGATCTTTCAAATTGGTGTTATTTCCGCCGGGGAACGAGTCGACCAACCGGGGAACGAGTCGTTCAACCGGGGAACGAGTCGCTCGCCCTTCAAGAGGGCCCCAGCGAACAAACACCGCCCCATTCCCCTAGGGAAAACACACACATGTGTCACATGTGCGACGTTCGGGGGGGTCACAGCGTCCAGAACTGCCCCAGAAGCCTCCAACACCGCCCCCAGACGGCACAACGCGCCCCCAAGATGGGCCCGAGAGAGCCCAAGAGGGCCCAAGACGGCCCAAAAGGGCACCAAGACGGCCCCAGGAGGGACCCAAGAAGGGGAGCAGGACCTGAAAAGTCCAGCCTTCAGCCCCAGGAGGCCCCTAAGAGGCCCCAAGAGCTCCGCGAGTCTCCTCCCGACTCTCCTCCCCGAGTCTCGTCCCAGAGTCTCCTCCCCGCTGTCCTCCCCGAGTCTCGTCCCCGAGTCTCATCCCCGAGTTCCTTCCCCACGTGTCCTCCCCGAGGTCCCTCCCCGAGTCTCCCCCCGAGTCTCCTCCCCGACGCTCCCCCCCGAGTCTCCTCCCCTACTCTCCCCCCCGAGTCTCCTCCATGACTCCTCCCCCGAGTTCCTTCCCAGAGTCTCGTCCCCGAGTCTCCTCCCCGCCTTTGGGCTCTCTTCTGGGGCTGTCAAGTGTTCCCGATTAGAAAACACTTGGATCGTGATCCAAGTGTTCTGGGATCTTGATTTTAATGATGTCTAAAACAGAAGAACACTTGGATCCTGATCCAAGTGTTCAGGGATCCTGATTTCAGTGATTCTCCCCCCCCCTCATGTCGTTGCCTCTTGGTTTTCGGGTTGTGATCTCGGCTCTGAGGCGGCCGTTCGGGACGATCGGGGCACACCTGGAACGCCCTCGGCGTGGCGCAGCTCCTGGAACGCGTCCCGAGGCTGGAAAACCGCCCGCGGACCGACGAAAGCGTCCGAGCACCTCGAGCGTCGAATCCGAAACTTCTCTCGCAACTGCACGTGGAGGAGGAGGGAGGAGGAGGAGGAGGAGGAGGAGGAGGAGGAGGAGGAGGAGGAGGAGGAGGAGGAAGAGGAGGAGGAGGAGGAGGAGGGAGGAGGGAGGAGGGAGGAGGAGGAGGACGAAGACGAGGACGAGGTGCGCGGCCTGCCAGCCGCTGCGTGCGGTGCGGCCGTGGCGGCCCGCGTGCCCGGGGCTCGGGCCGAAGCGATCCCCCGCAGGCCGATCACCAGAGGTCACTCCGGCGACTGGCCGATCGCGCCCTCCTCAGGTCGAGTCGGAGATCAACTGCAGGATTGCTTTACCCCAGAATTGATTTGTTGTTCGTAGAGTCTACAGAAATACGCAGAATGATCCGCATATCTACGAGCTCGACGAGCATCCTACGCATTTTGTGCGAAAGTTCAGCGAGATAACTAATGTAGGAGTAAATCAATGCTGTTGTCGATCCTCTACTCGATCAGGGGAGGCCTATAGGGGAATGAACAATGACACAAGCATAAAAACTCGGAGGTCCGCGCGGATTTCTCGGATCCGCGCTGGACCCCCCTCCCTGACGCGCGGAGCGCGCCAGGGGCGGCGCCGGAGGCGCTGCCAGGGGGCCCCAGCGCCGATCCGAGAAATCCGCGCGGACCTCTGAGTTTTTAAGGTTACATCATTGTTCATTCCCCTACCCGTCGTTCATTTCCAATCGTGCTCATTTCTAAGTGTGCTCGTTTCTGATTGTTCCTGGCCCCCTAGTGGCCAGGAAGAGGTCCAGGACAGAACAAGTAGAAATGACAGGATCTTGGCCCCCCCCCCCAAAAATCAAGGAACGTCCGAAAAACTAGACATGAACAGTGTGTAGGTCAAGTCCAAACAGAGAAACCCCCGATGGAGGCCAAGCGCTCCGTGCGGGCTTACTCTGTCGTTTGGACTTCACATCCTAGCAGGGAGGGGCGAAGCCCGGACGGAGCAGGGAGACCACGCACGCCGCGTGTGGACCTGCGCCGCGTGGACTTCCGGCCAACCCGTAGACGTCGGTCGGAAGAAGTAGGTAAAAACATGAAGTAGGAAGGCGGATTACGTTGATTGGGCCCAGGCCCCCCCAGGGAGTAACAAAACACAGCAAAAGCGTGCCGATTCCTGAAGTAGGAAGGCGCTTGAAGTAGATTGGGCTCTGGGAATTCAAAAATACCTACTTTCAGCGACCCGCGTGTATAATGAGGACGCACGATAAGGATTCCATGGGACGCACAGACATACTAGTACTGTACGTTCTCCTTGGAAGCGCGCGTCCGACCCAAACATTTTTGGCCTGCGGGGCGAGAGCGAACCTCTTCCGGAAAAACCTAGGCGGGCTACGCACAGCACTAATTGCGTCCGACCCAAACATATAATATACCCATCCTGTAGTATATCGTTTCCCGAGCGGTGTGGCCAGAAAGCGCCCGCCACGACGCGTATACTATAAGATTTCTCGGTGCGCGCATCGCCCCCGGCGGGGCGACGCACATATAGTATAAGTATGTTGGAATGACGCACGATAAGTAGGGAATCGAACTCTATATACCGATGCTTTTTTCCGGTCCCGCACTGAGATTCGCACAAGAAAACGGATTTTGGTGTACATGGCATCCTGGTGTATACATTGTTTGCTGCTTCCACGGGAAAACGGTGAAACAAGTATACACAACACCACCCCGACGTCGTCCCCGACCCTCAAAACTTCCTGGGATTGAGCAACAGCCCGCCACTGGTAATGTATATGCTCCAGTGTCCGAATAATGATTCCAGGGCCTTGGAAGGCCATGCCGACACTTTGCGAGCGGGGCGTGGCCAGCGAAAGCGGCCAAGCATGGGCCGAAGGGGAAGGATGTAAGGGCCACATTGGAAAGTCGTTCATCCTTACTATGCGGGTTGACTGCGCTCCATATGGACTTAGCATGCTCTGACCCCCCGCCTCCCAAACTCGGGGATCTACTGATCCGTGTCAGTCCGCCCCAAGGTCAGTCAGGGCCTGACTGACCTTGGTGCGGCCTGCAAGATCCTGCAGGACCGTGCAGCATACTGCGTCCCTAACCCGGGCCAATGAAGCCCTGGCTCTGCAGGATCCTGCAAGATCCTGCGCTGTGGCTGACACCCGTTTGCATTGACCCCGTCCCCCTGCCATCGCTCGGACGTCCATTCCACTTGCATGGTTTGGTTTCGCGCGTGCCTCTTTTGCCAGGTGATCTGGGAGGTTCCTCGATGGTCCTCGCCGAGGAACAGTGCACACGTCCGAGCGATGCCAAGCCCCTTGGGCCCCGACAGAGCTCCCGCCTGCTCGCGCCGGCGACCTGCGACTGGGCGGCCGCGGGCAGGCGGCGGCCGCGGCCGCCCTGGCCTTCCCCGCGGGCGCCTAGGCGCTCCGCGGCGCAGGCGCGAGGGCGGGGGGTGGAGCCTCTCCTGCCTCCTCCTCCTCCTCTCACTCCTCCTCCTGCCTCCTCCTCCTCCTCCGCCCTCCTCCCCATGCCCCTGCGTGTCGTCCCTTCCTCCCCTCCCTTTCCCTCCGCAGCCCCCTCCTCCCTCCGTCCTCCCTCCCTCCTCCCTCCTCCTCCCTCCTGCCTGCCTCCCCTCCTCCCTCCGCCTCTTCCCGCCCTCTTCCTCCTCTCCTCCTCCTCATCATCCTCCCTCTTCCTCTCCTCCCTCCTCCTCCTCTCCTCCCTCCTCCTCCCTCCTACTCCCTCCTCCCTCCTCCTCCTCCTCCTCCTCTCTCCTGCTTTTTTCCTCATCTCCTCTCCTCCTCCTCCTCCTCCTCCTCCTCCTCCTCCTCCTCCTCCTCCCCCTCCTTCTCCTCCTCCTCCTCCTCCTCCTCCTCCTCCGCCTCCTCCTACTACTACTACTACTACTCCTATCCTTATTCCTTATTAGAATATACTCCTACTCCCCCCTCAGGCCGGCAGATAGGGGCCCCATCCGGGTGGTCCCATCCTAACGTGTAAAAAACAATACAAAATCAACATGTTTCTTATTTTTTCCTCTCGACATGGACGTCCTGTCGTCCACGGCGATAATCCATTGCAAAAAATACCACAAAGAGCACACGCGCGCGTTCATGTCAGAATCCTACCGAACACCGTGTGTTTGCAAGCATTTCAACATAAAAACATCAAAAACCCAATGCTTTTTTTCACAAAAATTGTACAAATTTCCCGCCCGGGCTCTCTTGCTGAAATCATAGGAAAACCATAGGAATCTTAAGAATTCGGTCAAATCCAGCGATTTCACGTCATCGCGCGGTGCACTCGCGATGCTCTGTCATGCACCCAGGCCGCGAATCCTGTGCAAAAAATACTACAAAGAGCACACTCGCGCGTTCATGTCAGAATCCTACCGAATACCGTGTTTTTGCAAGCATTTCAACATAAAAACATCAAAAACCCAATGCTTTTTCACAAAAATGCTTTGGGGTGTCCTGTCAGACCGTCGGGCTTCCTCCGGCCACCTCTGGCTTCCTGCGGTGTACCGGGCCATTCTCGACTCGTCTGGCAATGCGTGCGCGGCATTCAACACGCGCTCGCCAGTTCCCGTCGGCAACCGCCATCGCGGCCGCATCAGCTGTACCAAACCGGCTGGCCGGTGTGACTTCGGCCCCCAGTTGTGCCAGCTTTGCTTCTTATGTTGTGGGAGGGCGGGTGGGACTGGGCATGCCATGCTTGACTCGCTCGAGCTGGCTAGCTTGACTCCTACTCCTACTCCTACTCCTACTCCTCCTTTGCGGCTTGGGGTAGCTTGACCCCTTCCCCAACCCCCTCCCCTGGACCTGGATGGGAGGTATCGCGAGAGGCTGGAGCGTCCAAGATGGCCCAAGATGGCTCCAAGAGGGCTCCAAAAGGGTCTCAGAGAGCCGAAGATGACCTCCAAATTGGCTCAAGATGGCTCGAGATAACTCAAGGTTGCTTCCAATATGCTCCAAGAGGCCACAGAGTCTCGCAAGGAAGCCACCAAAAGGCCAACATCCTTCAAAACCTAAGTCAAAGCGCCGTGTTGTGCCTTCTCGCCTGTTTGTATTCGACGGCCCTCCGAGGCCTCAAGGTAGCGCCAAGAAGGGGCAAGAGAGCCCCAAGACGAACCCAAGAGGGCCCCAGGACGGCCCCGAACGCTCCAAGGGCGCCGCAAGAGGGGTCCAAGAGGCGGTGTTGCGGGCTCTAGAAGGGCGAGACGAATGTAGTATCCCTTATTTGATCGATGTCCTCCAAGATGGGCCCATGAGGGCGTCCGAGGCCCCCAAGAGTTCCCCAAGAGAGCCCCAATAGGCGCCCAGGAGGCCCTGAGAGGCCCCAGGTCCCCAACGCGCTCCCAAGAGACCCCGAAGACGCCCCAAGAGGCTCCCCCAAGGCTCAGACGCTCAAAGGGCCCGCCCAGGACCGCCAAGAGGTCCCGAAGACGCCCCAAGAGGACTCCAAGAAACTCTCAACAGACATCCCACGCGACCCCGAGAGGCGTCCGAGAGGCCTCTGGCAATTCTCCTCCTCCTCCTCGTCCTCCTCCTCCTCCTCCTCCCTCCTCCTCCTCCTCCTCCCTCCTCCTCATTCCTCCTCCCTCCTCCTCCTCCTCCTCCTCCCTCCTCCTCCTCCTCATCCTCCTCCTCCTCTCCTCTTCTCCTCTTCCTCTCCCTCCTACTCCTCCTCCTCCTACTCCTCCTCCTCCTCCTCCTCCTCCACCTCCTCCTCCTCGTCCTCCTCCTCCTCCTCCTCTTCCTCCTCCTCCTCCATCCTCCCCTCGCTTGAGTTATGGCGGCTTCCCCCGCACTTCATTACACTGCATGTTCCTCCACATCCCTGACCAAGTCAAATCGCCTGGGCATCGTTTCTGGATGGGCAAGTGGGGTTATCTTTTTGGTCGCGGCCGCAAGCGAAAGCGCAGGCGGCGAGAAGGAAGTCTGGGCCAACGGGCTAGCCTAATTAGCTACAAGGCGCAGCGCAAGCCGGCCGGGCCAGCCCTCAGAGGCAGCAGCTACGGCAGCGGCGGCGGGGGGCTGACTGGCTGAACTACGACGCCCAGGGAAGCTCGAGCATCATGCAGACCTGTGGCAAAGTGCCAGGGAATTCCCAACTGCACGCCGCGGCACCAGTCCACCACGGTGTAGGCGCCATGCCGAGTCAGAGAGTGTCCTACACGCACGATCCGCACAAACACTGTAGTAAGTGAAGGCCAGGTACACACTGGCCATGTCGCCAGAGGGCGCCAATGGCCAGGGCCGTGTCGACGGCGTAGACCTGCCTGGTAGGCTGGGACGGGTCGAGGATGGAAACACAGCGTCTGCAGGAAGGCTGGACCACTCCGCGACGCCACACAAGTCTCCCGTGGTGGACGCCAGTCCCGAGCAAGTAGCAAGGACCCAGCCCAGAAGGCGACAGCACCTGAGGGCCCGGCCCAGGGTCACGACGTGAGCGCCGTAGAGAACCGCGTATTGCGCGGAGAACAAGCCAGACTGGCGGGAATGGACGTCGCCAGTGCGGCCGGGAGGGTGGACACCAGGGGACGACAGCGCCAGGGGGCGAACACCCACATTACGATGCGGGGCCGCGGGTTCTTGGCAAGCCGCCCTGCCCGTGAAGGACCCTCCTGTGGTGGGGGCGGTGGGGACTGACATCACCAGCCGGCCACGTGGAGAGGCCCGCCGGGGACTCCCAGTGCCAGGAGAGGGGAGAGGGAGAGAGGCGGGAGCCAGGGAGCGGCTGACGGCCGCACGGATTCCAGGGAGCGGCTGACGGCCGCACAGATTCGTATGTAAGTCCACGTCCAGTGGAACGTTATGGGAACATTGGCAGTGTGCAAGTGTGGAGAAGGGGATGTGATGGGAGTGGGCGGATGGGAGGGGGAGAGATGAGGAGGGGGTGGCGGGGGCGGGAGAGGAGGGGAGCGAAGGCAAGCTAGGTGCGCTCGCGTCATATCTGACGTCCTACCCCACCCTCCCATCCCTTACCATGGCGCTGATTTTCTCTATCCGCGGACGCGTGTCGCAGCGGACCTGTGGCTCCGCGCGCGCGTGCGTAACTAGTGGGTGGTGGTGCTCTGCGTGGGTGGTGCGCTGTGTGCTGTGTGCGTGTGTGGTGTGGTGGTTGGTGGTGGTGGTGGTGGTGGTGGTGGTGGTGCTGGTGCTGGTGCTGGGCTGGTGGTGGTGTGGTGGTGTGGTGCTGGTGCTGCTGGTGCTGGTGCTGGTGGTGGTGGTGGTGGTGGTGGTGCTGGTTGGGTTGGTTGGTGGTGGTGGTGGTGGTGGTGTTGTGGTGGTGGTGGTGCGGCGCGGTGGTGGCGGGCGGATGGGCGCGCGAGAAAGAGGCCCGCGCTGGGGCGAGAACGCCATCCTCAACGACGGAGGCCAAACACCGATCCGAAAATGAGGCCCACGCTGCAGCGGGAGCACGATTCGGAACGATTCGGGAGCAGAAATGAGGCCGGCGCCTCAGCGAGAGCAGCATTTTAGAAAAAAACACAAGCGAAAACCCAACTCCGGGGAATCCTGTGTGTAAAAAAACAGTACGCGGGGGGGTGCCGAATATCTTCCGGACGCCATCAGGGGAAGTGGGAGAGTATTTTCATATTGTGTAATTGTGGAGGGATGGGGAGGAGGGGAAGGGGACAGGGAGGAGGTGGATGAGGAGAAGGGGCCATGATGAAGGCCACCCAAACGGGGCTGGGGAAGATGGGGTCGGAGGATCGCGCCGCATCGCGGATGCATCGTCGATGCGTCGGCGACGTCGGGATGGAGAAAATCGGCCTATGGATCAAGCCGAATCGCCGATGGGTCGGGGATGCCTCCGACCCCACCTAGTCTGGCCCAGTTGGGCGGCCCAGAGATGGGGTTAAGCGGGGGGGGAGAGAAAAGGGGGAAGGGGGGGGGGGAAACGGGGAACGGGAGGGAGGGAGGGGGAAAGGGAAGGAGAGAGGGGGAACGGAAGGGAACGGGAGGGGAGGAGAGAGGGGAGGGAAACGGGAGGGAAGGAGAAGAGGGGGGGGCGAGGGGGGGAAGGGAGGGGGAAGGGAGGGGGGGGCGAGAAGGGAGCAGAAAGGGAAGAGGTCCCAGGAGGCTCACGCTTTTTCCTGCCGCGCGCGGCTCTCCGGGGGCGACTGGCCGGCAGAGGCCTCAGGCACACAGGACGCACACGCCCCCGGCCTCCTTCGAGGTCTGCCCAGTGGGGTCCGAGCAGACGAGGTTTAGGTCGGGCATGTCCCCCTACAGGCGGATTTTGAACGAAAAATTACCCCCAAAAATGTTCAAACATAGCCAACACATGCTCAAACATCGTCCCCCGACTATTTTTTACTACTTTTGAACATTCCTCCTGTAGAGGGACACGCCCGACTTAAGACGAGGTCGGAGGATCGCGCCGCATCGCCGATGCGTCGTCGGCGTCG